TATACAATGATATAATATCATTGGATTCAAATTTAATTCCATCCATTACAGTAACCCACTTGTAACCTACTGTACAGCAGAGCGACATACACGACTTACCCGCTTTTTTTTTAGAGTTACTATTATTAGGATTATTAACTTCTTTATAGACATTTTTTTTTTCTAGCAATTGTTATTGTAGTACTGTTAAATTTTCAATTTCTATAGTTTTGTTTGGTGTTTCAACTTTCAGCTATGTTTTTTCCTCACCTCACAAGACCAATACCGATGACTAATCTACCACAGGGGCCACAGAATCCTCCTGTAGCTAATATGAGTAATGCTCAAAATTCCCATGGACAATCTCTCATTGTGCAGTCTCAACCAATGGATATGGCCTCTAATACACAACCTTTACAACAAGTATCACAACAACCATCAACTACTCCAATGCAAATTACTGAAGCTTCTTCTCGACCTGCACGGAAAAAAAATGTTATTAAAATAATTGATCCTGATACAGGCTGTGAAGTTGACTTATTTAATTCATTACAAGGGCCACCAGTAAGATCATTTTAAAATTTATTAATTGTATACATTTTATTAAAATACATATCTACAGTTGTATTTTCTAGTAGCTAGATAAAATTTCATAAATTTATTAAGTGTGAACACCTGGTTTATTTTAATAGAGTGCTGATGAATTGGAAAAGATGAAAGTTCAAAGCCAATTCCAAAGTCAAGTACAAAGTGCTGTTAAAAAAGATGACACTAAATTATCTGATAATAATATGGTAATCTTTTTAATATATTTTATCAACAACTATGAATTGCATAAGTCTTGTTACTTTTTTTCTCTTTATGGTTCATGATCATGGCTTAATGTTCGGTTATGTTCCATGATTATTTATTATAAATTAATTAAATTTCACCTTGTCTTGCCTCTGTTGGTTAATTTTTTCTAATTCAACTAGGTACTTAATTATTTCYGCAAATTAACTTAAATATTAAATTTAGTATTGAAAGACATTTTAATTATGTATTTTAGAATAATGAAGGAGGAGAAAAAGTTCGAAATGAATTCCAATCACAAGTCAAAAAATTGGCAAGTGAAAGCACTTCAGTACCCTCAAAAGCCATAGATATTGACACTCAGGTTTCTGAAGAAGTTGTTAATCAAGTTGAAGAAATAAGTGTTGATTCTGTTAATACAGAAGAAGTGCCTATTGCTATAAATAATTCAATTGATATTGATATTGGTAGTGTTACTATTAACACTGAAGATACCACTTTAGTTGTTAATGAAAGTGAAATAGAAACAACACCAACAAATTTATTACCAAGTTCTACTATTACTCCTCCTGAAATACAGATACAAAATGCTGATGTAACTAATGTTTCAGAGGATCCTATTCTTTTAAAAAAGACTACAGATGAAGAAACTGTTAAATCAGGTAATAAATTAATATTTAATATATCTTATTGATTATTGCTAGTAGGTATGACTGATTTACTTAAAACTTCAAATGGCTATAACTTAGGAACTAATTTTAACTGCCAAATTCAAATTTCACCTACATTTTTGGCGCTTTAACAAATTACCATAAAAGGAGTGTGGTAATGTAGATAAGTTATATAAACACTTGCTTAGAATAGATAGCATATATTTTCGTTTGCACTCCAAATTTGGGGAGATATTATTTTAGAATAAATAATTATTATTAAAAAATGTATTAATAATTTAAATTCCTATATGTTATGTTTTATGGCTTCCAACTTCTTTTAATCAAAAAATATTTTTCGCCTATAACATTTTACAATCGTGTTTATTATTAAATTGTATTTATTTGGGCTTTAAATACCATGTAGCCATGTAGGGCACCAATTCACTTTTAGATTAAACATGTTAACCAAATTTCCATAATTTTAACCTAAATGTATGTAGAAATCGATTGTAGACCTTCAACTAAGTATGTATTTTAGCTTCACCTATATTTTTGATAATATGGTTTATAGAAATGTTAGTTCACTTGAAAATTAAAAAGTGATTGATTCCTTTTAAATATTGGTTACGATACCATTACTTTGTTTATATTGAGTTTTGCGGTGTGGGGCAAAGTCAAAAGTCGAGAATATAGTGCACATATATTTTTTTATGATTAATAAGGAAATGATTACCAAAATAACAAGTGAAGATGTCCCTTCCCCTCCTCAACTGTGGCTCCCATTCTGAAGATTACTTTGATTTTGTCGTATATTAATACTTGAACAATTACCAATTAAAGAAATGCTTTAATATGCCATCAATTATTTGTTATTTTTTTGAAAGTTCATATAATAAACCTTCAATGAAAGAGAAATTACACTTATTATCATCGTGCTTTCAAAAGAATTTAAGAACAAAAGTTAGGTAAAAAAAAAATCTTGCGAAAAAAGTCCTGTTTTTTTATTACMTATATATTATATTTATTTATAAGTTAATTATTTGTTTATATACACAATATTATACTTATATAATATAATATATCGAATAGAAGAGGTGGGATTTGAGAGTAAAAAAGATATAGGGAATGATGAAACATTTCATTTTTAAGTTAGCAAATCATATTATAACTCCTTTAGTCTCATATAGTAATATATGTATATATATCTTCTTTAGTATCATATATTTAGTGCATATTATACTTAATACAAAACATTAGCATTTAATTTATTATTATATTGACAAAAAATTATAATGTCATATATTGTTATATTTTTATTTTTATTGTACCTATAATATTGATTTAAGTTGAAAAATGTATACTTTCAAATAACTATATAAGGGTGTCCTGTGAGGATATAGCCATTAGCCGTAGAAGGGGACTTGCCGTCCGGATAAATATCAGTTTTTCGCTGTTTTATTTATAAACTATAAAAATTATCAAAAATCATGAGATTAATGAAAATAAAATATTAAAAGGGTCAACATTTTCAGCAAAATAAGCTCTATAAAATAGGTGTCTTTATTTTTTTTCCAAAAAATTTAATAAAATACATATAGCCTTGTCTATGTGAGTCTAATAACCATACTTATGATATATTTATGATCTTAGGAAATATTACAATGAGTAAATCCTCGCTGGATGCCCTGTATAATAAATAAATCAGACGTTTATGACCTAGGACTTTTTTTGAGGGACTTTTAGGTAGAATCCCCTTTCCGATAATCAATATGTTCTCTTGTTTTTTCAATAATGTAACCACTTCTGACATTCGGGGATTAAAATTTGGTGAATTTTAATAGATAATGTATTAATTATAACTCGTATGGTGGTATTACAGYCTGACTGTATTATGAGTTTGTAACTACAACTAGTACATCTTATTATCTTCCATTATATCGATATATAACTAATATTACCTAACTGGAAATCTCAATTTTCTTATAAATAGATACCTACCAATCATTGATTTTGCATCGTTTGCGCAATATTCCGTAAAACAACCTATACTACAAGGCTACAAAGATAAATTATTTTAAAACGTACATGATATCAATGGTAGTCAGAAAAAAAAGCCAGGGAAAAAAGCCATGGGAAAAAAAAGTCAAATTTCAATAATTAAATATACCTATAACAATTAAAATTAAAGTATTAAATTGGTATTATTTAAAAATTGTTTACACATTGGTCAAATATATAAAAAATAATTATAATTACATATACAAAAAAAATAATATTTAAAGTATTTTTCAAAATTGTTAAACAATGGTCATATTGTACACATACATATATATATATATATATATATATAGATATAATTATTAATACATAGGTTATATATGTTAATTAATTTACAATTTTTAGCACAGTTGATCATACTGTATTGACCTTATTCATATATAAAAATAAAATTGTTAATATACGTTGAATAAAAATAATATAATATTTTGTGGATATTATCTTGAAATAAATTAATTTATATATATTTTTAATTTAAACTTTATGTTTAATAAATTCAATACATTCATTGCTGTTTAGAATCTAAAATATATTTATTACTATGAATAATAAATAATAACATACAACCTGTGTATTAATAATTATATATATATAATATGACCAATAATGTGTAAAAAAATTTTAAATAATACCTTATTTAATACTTTAATTTTAATGGTTATACATTTAATTATTGTAATTTGTCTTTTTTTCCTACATTCGATATCAATATGTGTAGTACTTAATCTTTGTCGAAATGAAATTCGTTTCAAATATAAACATTCTCGTCTTATAATTATTATATAAATGGCCATCTTAAGTCCAAATTGAATTAGACTCACTTTAAATAATTATGGTAAATATAGTTAAATAATATTATATTTTAGAAACAATTCATTGATAATTGGTTAGGTTTATATAGTATTAAAATAGTTTATGTAGTTTATAATTGTATTATAATTAACCGATGTACCATGATAAAATAGGTACTATAGATATTAAAACAGGGCAGTCAATGTTTAAATGCTTGCGACTAATGCAGTAATGCGACATACTAGTTAAAATGATGAACGTTGGTTGCCTATTTATGAAATCCTGAGGCGTAGTCGACCTCAAAAATTCTAATAGAAAAYACATACAGACAGACGTTTATCTCCRTTTATAATATTTTCGATTACGTTTAGATAATTTAACAACCTTGGTATGGTATTGGTTGGCAATTTATTTCTTATTTATGTTAGGATCAGAGATGATTAGGTGCTTGCGTAATTAAAATCAAAGCCGAAAACGTCTTAAGTAAACTGAACGCCATACGAGTTTTCGTTGGATAAAATATGTCCTGCATTTTAACCACAATTAATGATATAGTATAAATAGGTAAAATTGTTAAGTATTGTTTTTTGTCAAATATTAATAGTATAATATTCTAATGACAAATACTGTTGGTTTGCGCGCAAATATTATTTACTCCACATAACCTCTACGTTGTTATTTATACAGGAACGCATGATAGGCTTCAATACTTCAATAGCCTATCCATCTCTTTATTATCTAATATCTATGGTCCATGATCTATTTTATGTTAAGTATTTGCTTTCTTGTCATTATATATAATATGTACATATTATATAATCTGTGTTATAACCATGATTAAAGGTTGAATAGTTTTCAGATTCATTTTTATAAATTTCGATGTGTATTGTACAATGGTTACACTGATTTATCATGCATTTAATTTTTCTTCGAATTGGAAGTGGTTGGTATTACTGTCCGGTATCAACTGTTTGTAAAATGCAGAGGTCGTTTGTTGCCTTTCAAATTGTTTTATTATTTTTCATACCATTGACTATTGAGTACGCACGTGTTTTATTTCTTACAACTTCGTTTTTATAAAAGTGTTAATATACAGTATCAATCAGGAGAATGTCATATTAGGTATTTGGAATTAATATGAAGGGACCTATTAGTGAGTACTTATTAATTTTCATTTTAAAAAGCTCTATGATTGTTTCTCAAAAATCAAGACAGTTATATGAATTTTTTAATAGGTTTCTATTAATTAAATAATTAAATAGTGTTTTTTGTGATTCAAATTTAGCTTAAAATCGTAGAATTATATACGATCTATTCAAAATTAAAGTAGCTCAATTTTTATCATGGCTAAAAAAATTGTTCAGAACGTAGTAATTAAATATGCAATATTACATTGTTTTTAGATTTTGCATATCACAAAATTATATTATTTTTGATTTTACTTAATTTTAATTATTGGCCCTTAAATATATATATATATATATATATATATTAGTATAAAATAAAAACTTATTCATCAAAATGTACATTCAAGGCAATTTATGTGCCTATTGAATGATACATTTATATTAATTGCAAAGCTGAAAGTATTGTAATTTTTGTCTCGAAGAGTGCATATTAAGAAAATCACTCAGATATTTTTTAAATGATACATTAGTGCCGGTTATATTAAAAATGTATTCACTTAATGGTTCAATACAATTATATGAACCACTAAATCTTGTTTWGGAGAACAATTAGCTCACTATTGATTTGCAATATATTTAGCRATTGTTAAATTATTAAGTATAATAATATGAATTATATAAATGTAGTATGAATGAAAGTGAAAGTATCATATGTATATAAAAATACAGAAGAGGCTATTTCAAATAAATAACTCAATGATTCTCAATTTTCTCATAAATTTTATTTTGAGTTAACATTTTTGGTTTTGATCATTTCATACCATACTTGTATTATTGAAATKAATAATATTGTAATATTTGTAATGCTAAATTATGTATAGTATAGTATGGTATGTATAACTTAACCTATCTGTGATCTTAAACTATATTTAATTCCTTGTATTTGATAATAAAATAGTTGTTGTGGCTGACACATGATCCAGTAATATATAAATGTATACCTTGTCACCTATTTTTAGTATTTGCATCATAGGGCTATTTCAGACTATTCTGGCAGCCTGTATGCCTTGTGAGCAAAACATCTGCTATGATGTTATTTAAAATGTTATCATCAAATTATCTTCTTCAAAAAAAAATCTTTTAACTTAATGTATCTCCTAATTGGTTTTTATAATATTTTATAGTTAAACCAAAAAAACATAAAATCAAAAAGAAGAATAATCAGCAGAAGAATTTGGTTAAAGTTGATGCCAACGATGGAGTAAAAGTAGAAAATACAATTGAAACTACTACTATTGAGCCTGTCATCGAATCAAAAACTACTGTGAGTGAAATAACAATTTTTAAATAATACCTATGTTACCAGTCTCTCATTACCTTGCCATGGATTGTAAAAAATTAATTAACTAGCCAAAAAATTTTTTAATAAAATTTAGTTATTATTAWATCGACTATTGAGTAATCATACTTTTTATTGAAATAATTATTTAATTTAATATTTGATATTGAAAATAATTTATTATTTAAAAAGGCAGTTAGTTTCCTGTCTTCCAAGTGGGTAATAGAAAATTTCACTCATATCTGATTACTTTTAGCACCATTAGTTTAAAACATTGAGGGAATTAACCTCTTATGATATTTAAATGTAAGATTATTATCTATTATTATTATTATTATTATTATTAGCATCTCATGGGCTTTTTAATATATTTTAATTTTAAAATTATAACTTGGTTGTGTATCTTAAAATACTCATAACTTGCCTTAAAATTAAAATATTAAAAGACCATGAGATACCATAATAGATGTTACCACTAATTTTTAAAAGAGGACAATCATAAATTTTAGTCTAATGGAGTTAAAAGTGATTTAACAGTTTTTGCTATGTTAAGCTTTTGTGAGACAGATAATACATACGAGTATATCGTCCTCTAGATAAATTTATAATTGAACTTGTTTATTAGAACTCTACAATATCTGTTGAAATKTAATATATTTTTATGATCAAATACTTTAATACAAATTTGTTTTTAATTCCATTAAAAGTATAACAACTACTAAAAGATTGATTTATTGATGAAATATCCTTAATAACACTTGTTTTCTAATTGGTTGAGGAGATGCATATTACATATTTTATAACCTGTGACTGTTTAAATATAGACTACTTTCCGCACCCCAATTATATATGTAAATTAACCTAATACGATACTAAAAGCTTTTCAATTTTTACCCTGGTAATAACAAATTTATATTATAGGATATTTCAAAAAAACAAGAAAATAAGGAGAATGAGGATAATAATCATGACTCTAAAAATGAAGAAGAGGAGAGTATTATTCCAAAACAGGAAGAATTATTACAACAACCGGAAGAGACCCAAAATAACGGAATTAAACATGAACCTGAGGTTGAACACGCAGCTCCAAAATTGCCCAGTTACTTAGACAGTTTACCTTATGCTGAAGGTTGAATTTTTTTATCTTGTAATTTTGATACAAACACTAAAATTGCATTTTATATTTATATAGGACAATGGAGTTTTACAAATCCGACTGGAAAAAAAGTGTATTCTAAGTTATTTTTAATAAAACTTGGTAATGAAGCTGTCTGTCAAAAGAAGCCTGATGTGTTAAGAAACTGGAGTAATATAACCAAATCATCTAGTGCACCTCAATTTAATTCATTAGGTGTAAGTATTTAAATAAATATTCTYGATTTTAATATTTAAACTTAATTATTTAAAATTTAATAGGGGATGGTATCTAATTCACTAAGGTCCCAAAGTGCAAGTGCAACTGGATTTATGCCTTCCTATTTCAAACCTGGTAATAGTCAACGTGGTAGTGGTATGCCTATTATGGTAAGTATATAACTAGATAAAATTAATCATTTTTATTAAAAGTAATTAAACATTTTTATATTTATGATTTTTAGCAACCAGGTGCTAAACGTAACAGTAGTCAAGGAAAAACAGCAAGTAAAACAGCAAAACCTAACACTATTCATATGTCTCTTTCTTTAAGAGAAGAAGTTAAATTAAATCAGACTGAAAATGCTTGGGTTCCAACAGCTGCTAAAAAAGCTACCAAGTCAGATTTAGTTAAAACAAAAAATGAAGAGGAACTAAAGAATGATGTAAGCATTTAAATTAATATCACATTCTAATAAATTCACTGAACAATGTAAATCGTTGAAAATTTGTCATTATGAATATGTATTGTAGATATATTGTAAATGTATTGTGAGATATAATCAATACATTTTTGTGTTCGCTAATTTCAAATATAATAAAGCAGTAATGAAGAATAGCAAGACAAATGTTGAGTTGATAAAATGTTATTTGTTTTTTTACATTCATTTACTGCTTGAAATATTATATTTAATAACTAAATAGTGATTTTGGTGTTATTTTTGTTTTAAAAATAAATCAGTATTATTTATTATCTATATTTTTTATTTTCAGGAAGTAAACAAGAGCGTTCGATCAATTTTAAATAAAATAACTCCTGACAACACACCTTCATTAACTGAGCGTTTTAAAGCATTGCCAATAGACACTATTGAACGTTTAGAGAAAACTATTGATTTAGTTTTTGAAAAGGTAATATATATATTTTTTTCCTTCTTAATGAGAGTGTAAAACAATTTTTAGATCATTTATTTTATTTTTCATATAATTTTTAAAAGTTGTTAATTCATTCATTGATTTTGTTTTTGAAATCCCAATGAATCTTAATATTAATAGTTTTTCAAATAAAATTGATACTTAAACTAACAGATTTACAGTAGCCAAAAAAATTCTTTATATCAATTATTATGTCCCTTGTAGATGTTAGATTTTTAATTTATTCTTCACTTGCATGAACATAAGTATTTTTTTAATTTTAGGCTATAGAAGAACAAAGTTTTGCACCTCTTTATGCATCTCTATGTTCAGCTATGCAATCAGTACAAGTTAGTTCCAAGGATGGTAAAACAGCATCTTTTAAGAAGTTAATTATAAGTAAATGTCAAAGCCTATTTGAATTAGATAAGGCCCAAGAAATGGATTCTGCTAAGAAACTAACTGAAATCAATTCATGCAAAGATCCAGTAATTTTGATGACATTAAAAACAGTAACAGATTATTTTAATATACCATGATTATAATTTTCAGGAAAAAAAGAAAGAACTTCAACTTGAATTTGAAGAAAATGAACGAAGATTACGCAAACGTTCTGTAGGAAATTGCCGGTAAAAAATTTAAATGTAACATCAATAAATAAAATAAAAGTTAACATATTTTGTGTTGTATTTTATAGATTTATTGGTGAATTATTTAAACAAAAAATACTTACTCCAAATATTATGTTGTATTGCATTGTGAATTTAGTCACTAAACATGTTGAAGAACCACTAGAGTGTTTGTGCAATTTATTAAAGACTGTTGGAAAAGAATTGGAACAAGTAAATTATATTTTATTCATTACATGTAATGATAGTTTTAATTTGATTACATTAAATTTTTCGTTTTTACTTAATCTATCTCATTTTTTAATTAATGATGTACATCAAGTGTAAACATAATAGATCAATTATTAAAATTGATTTATTAGAGTCTGACTATGCATTCAAGATAATATAGGTGTTATATTTTGTTTAAACCTAACAAAACACATAGTACATTTATAATAATTTCATGAAAATAGAACCATCTGCATGTCGGTTTTGTCTAAATTACAATTAATATAAAGATGACATTCAGGCAATTTCTATTAAACTCGATATTAAAATTTATTTACTAAACTTCGTGGTAAAAAAATTTAATTGTACTATTTTAATTTTTTTACAAAGTGAGGATGTAGAACTTAGAATTTAAAAATTAAATTATTGTTAATAATCAATTTAAATAGAAAACATTTTTCTAAGATGACCTAACCATATATATTTTATTGTTTCAGTCTTATGATTTAAATGAGACTTTTGATAAACTGAAAGCTTTAACATCCAGAGAGATGAAATCCAAGATTCCTTCTAGAATAAAGTTCATGATACAAGATGTAATTGATTTACGTAGAGACAAATGGATACCTAGGCGTACTGATAGTAAACCTAAGATGATAAATGAAATAGAAAATGACGTCAAAAATGAAGCGATTGAACAACAATCTATATCACTAGCTTATAATAGACCTGAAAAACGAGATCATCATCGTGGTGATGACAAATTCAGGGGCGGTGAAAACAAGGGTCGCCGTATGTATCTTAAATTAATCTAAACAACAACACAGTATTATACTTATACATTTGAGAGAACTTGGCGGCCACTTTTGTTGACTTTGTTTTACAAGTGCGTAACATACCAAAATTTACACTCAGCAGAGTTTACATTTAGCCCCATTAGATTAAAATTTAGAGTGAATTGACCTCTTGTTAAAAATAAAAGTAACATCTAGTGTATCTCATGTGCTCTTTATGATAGTTTAATTTTAAATGCAATTTATGAGTATTTTAATATCTACAATTTACAATTTAAAAAAATACTATTAACTCGCTTTAAAATTAAAATATAATTAGCTCATGTGATAATCTAGGCAATAATGTTTCCTTTTATTTTTATAAGTAGTCAATTCACTTGAACTAAGACACTAAACATGATCTGTTGAGCCTAAAATTTTCAATGTTACACACTTGTGAGACTGTGACAACACATGCAGATGTGGTGTCCTCTTAATATATTTTGCTATTAAATGTTTTTTTTTTTTTTTATGTGTGTGTGTGTGTGTTTTTAAATGATTTATTTTGTCTAATCTTCTCACTGAAAATATTGAAATGTTGAGTAATTAACTCGCTATGATAAAAACACAGTTCTAAGACCTGTATTTATTAAATGTTGTTAATGACAAATATAATAGTAATAATTTATATGTTATTTTAGGTGGAAATGAGAATGAGTGGAATGTTGTTCAAAATAATACTAAGTATAAGCAACATAGTTTCACTTTTGATCAATCTAAACTACAAGGTTTTAAGGTAACATTTATATTCAATACTTTAGGATAAAACTTGCCTAAAATGTTAAATATTATAATCAATTTCTTTAGGAAACCTCGTCTGTGACAACTTTAGGCCCACCTAAATGGTCATTTCCTACGGGTAAAAATACGTCATTTACTAGCAGTAACACATATGCAGTTCTTAATGATGATAAAAAATCATCAAGTTCTTCACAAATAATGTAAATATATTTTTCTAAAGTTATTTATTTTTATTAATAACATATTATTTTTTAGGTCAAATAAAACCACATCACGGAAACCAGTTATATCTGAAATTGAAGAAAGACAAAGGATGATGTCTGGTATGGCATATTTAGTTAACTAATTTATTTTTAAAATAAACTCAATTATTTATTTTATTTTGTCAGGCGTTGCAAGTATGATGATGCCTCAATTTGCTCAACCCATTCCTTCAATGAATTCTAGTTCTCAGCCCAAAGATACTGTTGAAGAACCAATTGTATCAGACTCAGAAATTGACGATAAAATTAATATGAAATGTAAAAATATTCTTCTTGAATATGAGCAAATGCAAAATTTAGATGTATGTATTCAATATAAGAATATTCACCATGTGTAAATTATGATATGGTGTAATTTGAATTATAATCATATTGATTTGGCTTTTTAATATAGGATATTATTTATTCATTATCGGAAGATAAAACTTCAGTGATACGCACAAGGCATGAAGAGTTTGTGAAATCAATGTCACTTATAACATTAGATAGTAGTCCAATTACCCGAACAACAGTGGCGGGGAAAATTTTTGCTGAACTATTATCCAAAAAAATTCTTTCTATGGAGGCCATAACTCGAGGGTAATATTTTATTCATAATTTATAATATTTTAGTTCATATGTATTTTTATTTTATTTTAAGAATTGATGCTGTCCTTAAAGATTGGAATGATTATTTGATGGATTATCCTCAATTTTTCTCCTATATTGCTGCCATTACTGGTAATTTTTTATTTATTCAAGTATTCATAATTTGCTAACATACCTAATTATTAATTTTTTTTATAGCTCCATTATTATTATCACAGAGTGCTTCCTTTGATTTCAATAATTTAAAAGATTCTTGTACATCAATACGACCAGAAAATTCTAGTAAATTTTTTACAGAAGTATTGAATAAAATTCTTAAATCCAAGGAAACACAAAATATTAAAGAAGTAAGTGTTAATTATTTTGTAGTAGTTTATTATGTGATTTGTCCTATTATATTCCGAGTGGGACTAATTGGTGGTTTACGATCATGCAATTTTTTTAATTATTCTATTTTCTTTCTTCAGAAATATTATAAATATTTCAATCTTTAGTTGTATAGATTAGTTTTCTGGTAGGTAAAATAATCTTATCTATTTATTTTGTGGCTGATAACCAGATTTTCAATAAAATAATATGAAAAATTGTAAATGGTTTATTTACGCACCCAGTTAATCAATTCACAAATAATATGTATCGATAAATTGTTATGTATTTATAATGTGATTTTTTGTTTATACAAAATCCTTAACATTGAACATAAGTGTTTTTCTGAAGGTTTATCTAAGAGAATTCTTAATAATATACATATTTTGTATAATTTTATATGAATGTTGAAAGACTGACTAATGAAACCCTTATCTAATCAAAACATAGTGATACCATATACAGGGTATCTCAAAAAAACCTGACTAAAATATTAAAATTATGCTATTTAAACATAAAACCAAAAATTGATAATATTATATGATGAGTAAATTATTTAAGAAATATACTCATTTTATAAAATTCTCAAAAATCATATTATTTTTTTATTATTATTCTTTATAAATGTTTCAGCACACTAGATGCTATTACAAATATATTTACGAATCATATTTTATAAAAGTTATTATGTTCCACGATAATTTAACCAAAAGAAATAACAATTAAAAAAATTCTAAAATCTACTTGACTTTAATAAATCTTTTTACAGTTAAAATTGTTCTTATTATCAGATTCACAAATTGGCTATTTTGAATTTATCCAAACATTTTTTTTATCAATTTTCAAGTTTTTTATTTTCAGTATTAAAAAACAAAATGAAGCGCGCAAGTATGAATTATATAGAGAAAAAAAAAATTTAAATCTTAAATATAATAAGTTATTCCATATGTCAGATCATCGTGAGACATCCTATATTATCAATTATCATATTTTAAAAACTTTTATAGATAGCCAATGCTAATATAATCTCTTATTGCTAATTTATTTTGGATTTGACTAACTAGTAGTGCACTTTGTCATTGTGATGAGGTAGAGGTAATTAACTTGCATCCTGTCTCCATTCATCACTTGTGTATCAAATTTTAATCAAAGAGTGATATTTGATTGATTTGTTTGTACATATCTATTATGTTTTTTAATTTATATTAATATGAATTACATTATTTATATTTTATATATTTTTTTTCCCCAATTAACTATGAAGAAGTGCATTTTAGTCCGAGAACCAATTCAACTGTTGTCATCATATTTCTAAACAATCAGAACTTTTAATTTATTCGTAGGAAATGTATTGTAAACTGTAATATTACAAGTATAGGCGTAGTATTTAGATAATTCCTGGTTGTTATTAAATTTGATTATTGGCAGTTGGCAGTAAGAGATACTTAATTCTACGTCTCCTGGCAATTATACTCCACTTAAAACTTAAATGTAAATTAAGAGGATGTGCATGTGCTGTCTCTGGCTTGCAAACTTATTACATAATAAATTTTAACTTCTGAATATTCCATCTAATTATTTTATGATTTATATTAATCTATTTAATTTAGAAGTAAGAATATTATTTAGTGAACCTCTTAGGTCTTTTTTTTTATACTCTTAAGCAAGTTCTCTAAGTATTTTAAAATTTATTAGTTTATTAATTATAATTTTAAAATATTCATTTTAGTTTTCATTGAAATGAAAATTTAAAAATAAACTGTTGACAATAATATTCTTTCATATCTAAATTAAATAATTCAGAATGAAAGATTTGCTATGTTATGCAATTATAAGACAATACATGCAGTTGTCACAGTGTCTTGATACTACACTAAGCAATAAATTATTGAATTATTACCTATTGTGATATATTGAATATATGTTATTATAAACTTATATAATGCCCCGTTTGCCTGATTTGTAATAATACAATTTTTTTTGTTTCAGCAACTAGGTGGTATATTGTGGATTTACAATAAGTGGAGGACGTCAGAATATGTTCCTCTTGATGTATTTATGCCTAGTAACCAAATAAATAAATTTTATAAAAATGATGTAAGTTTTTAAAAATTGTATGAATATTTTTTATTCTATTGTATTTATATTTTTATATTTTATTTATTTATTTACTTTTTTATTAAATATTTATATTTATAATTTTATAACATTTAATACATTAAATTTTAGAGAATTGGAGTATTCCTCTTATCTATTGCTATGTATGATAAAATGAAGATGTCTGAAGGTAAAAAATTGTACGAAATATTTCATAGTTGGATAAGTGTAAGTAAAAAATTGATCTAACCAATCTTAATAATTGCATTGAATTTTATATTTCGCATGTTGATACTAATTTTCATTAAATTTGTTTTTTTTTTATTATTAAGGATAATATCAGTGCAGAAATAATAAAATGCCCTCAATTTGTACGAGCATTAACCATAGCTATTGTCATTGTATGCTCAAGTAAGTCACTTCTGAAATTATGGTAAAATAGTTACTTAATTATTAAATATTATTTAGAACCAAATCATTCTTACGAAGATTTCTTTGATCATGTTCATGTGAAATTGTTGACCTGTTATATTCGGTCTGAACCACTTCCAGTTCCTGAAATCCAGGCAAGAGAAGTGCAATGTCTATATGGCATTCAAATTATGTCTGCTGCACTTGAACATCCTGGAGGTTAGTTACCTAATGTTTAATCTTAGATTTATTATTAATATCATTGTTTTTATACAAGGAATGGTATTAAGACTGTTCCATAAGCTCTATCAAGATAGTGTTATAAGTAAAGAATCATTTGTACTATGGAAAAAAGAAGATGAATTTAAACCTGGATTTGATGAAGACTTGGAAACAAAAACTATGGCTGTTGTAGTTTTAAATTCATTTTTCCTTTCACTTGCAACAAACGATTCTGATGAGGATGAAACAGCTGAATAGTGTAACAACATTTACCTATGGGCTGCGTTAACTCAATATTCATCAATCGACACAAATTCTTCTATTTTTTTTTATTTTATTGTAGATACCATGTTATAAAAAATTTATATAAATAAGAAAAAAATTCTAAATACTTAGCCATTTTTCATTTATTTCCTTTGAAATTCAATTATTTATAAGTTTGCAAATATTTGTATACAGTGTTTTTTTGTTAAGGGTTTTATTTTAATTTATTTATCTTTTGTACATCTGGTTTTACTTTATACTAAAGCTAGTCTCCTTAACAAAATAAAAATCAATGACCTAATTCTTTGCTCGCCCCTTCTCTTTTTGACAATGGGATTATGACAAATTAATTTTGTTAATATATTTATTTGAATTATAATATATAATTGATTATTGTCTGTTTATAAACTACATTAGTTTTTAAAGCACGTTTCATTAAATATGGAGACTATGCTATTTAAAAATTAAATTTCATTTATGAAATTGAAATGTGTCTTGATAAAACAAGTATTATAAAAAATTCGAATTTACAAAATAATAATTGTTATGAAGATGATTCATTGGAGAAAATAACTATATTTTTCTATATACGTTGATACCATTGTCGGACTATTGTGTACAGTTATATATAAATTAATAATGTGTAAAGTTGCGGTTAATGTTATATCTAAAATAATAAATATAAAAATTGTAAAAAATAAATTGACTTTAAATATTTTATTTTAAAAATATTCTTCTCAACGTATGTCATTATTTGCAACATAAATGTATACTGTTTCCTACCCTTTCATACATTGATTGATATCAATAATTATCCAATTATCAACATATTTTCTTTTTCTTTATGTATAGTAACCATCAATAGTTCATGTAAATGATGATCAGTAAAACGATTCATAGAAATTATACTAAATTAAAAAAAAAAAARTGGGTGGGTGGGAATCGCTCTGTTGTAAAGTAAAAATGGAGAGTAGGTCACTATAATGGATATGTTAAATTTGAATGCAATGACAGGTATCATTGTATACAAAAACGATTCTGAACGGAAATGATTAGACAGTCTAGGATATATTATATTACCTATATATAAATTACACTATATATTATTTGGTACAAGTAATTAATTGTTAAGTATGATTTTGGACAGATTGCATATTTCCATACGGCAAGGTTAATACATTTTGGTAGTATAGAGTAAAATATTAATGTAATCGAAAAATAGATGATTTAAGATATTAGAAAACTAGAAGAATTAAATAATATAATCTATTAGCAATAAGACAAAGCGCTCATAACCATAGAATCTAATATAAATTAAATATCAATATAAATATAAATTTTATAAGCTCACTAAATGTTTCTATATTGACTGGAGTTTTTTTATTCAGTTATTTGAAGAAAAACTTATGGAGAACTTTATAATAAATTGTATAAATATAAATCAACAATTTTATGAATTAAAATAGCATGCAAATTTTCACGATTTTGACATTTCGTAAACATTTGACCTTTAAATGCTTATAAACCCATATTGTAACAAATGATTTTTGATTTTTTTTTTTTTTATGATAAGTATTTATAACTATGTAGGACAATTTATTATAAACATTGTATTAAATTTTAATAATTTTTTGGATTGCCACATTTTTTCATACATGAATTCTAAACACGAAACTTTCAACTGCCTATAGATAACAAAGTCATCCATATGGTTATTTATTTAATAATATTCATGTGAAATTATTGCACAGCTATATTCGGTTTGAAACACTTCTAAAACTTGAAGTCCTGTAGGTTCGAGAAGTACAATCAGGGTTGGGCAAGATACTCAAAAAAAGTATCATGATACATGATACTTTTATATTTCTAATCAAATTTTATTTACTATTAAACTTGAAACGTCTATTACATAATTCACTATACTGTCAATACATAAATACTTATAACAGTGGCGTAGCCAGGATTTTTTTCGGGGGGGCTGATCAATTTTTTACACAGCGGTGCATTAATACCTATTAGCACGGCCGAAGCTAACAAAATAAAGATGACAATTTAAAATTAGTAAAATACAATTTAAGACTTTTTGAGTGAATATTGTAGACCATTGAAATAATTTTTAAATTTTATTAACATTTCGGGGGTGGGGGGGGGCTGCAGCCCCCTCAGCCCTCCCACTGGCTACGCCACTGACTAATAAAGTCATAATTATATTAAATAATATAATAAGTCAATAGATACACATAAATTTATAATTTTATAACTAATACAGTAGTACATCAGTATATAATATAAATACATCAAAATTAATAGATTGCATAAAAATTACATCTTAATTTGTACTTATATATAGTTCCTTTATGTGTATAATTGGTTATGGACTTATGAGTTATGGTTAATTTTTAAATTAAATGTTTTATGAATAAAATATTGATTACCTTAAAGAAAAATTTATTTTTCTAATGTTTTTTCTGATAGATTAGATCTACTGAGTGAGTGCATAAAATTAGCAAATGAAAATAAAGGCTCAACGGCAGCAGATGAACACAGACTTGTATTATATTTTATAAATAGTTTTTTTATGGATTGATAATTATTTAAACAATTTATTGATTTGTTATTGTCGTTAAAATAAGTAATTAATTCTAGTTCATTCTTTGATTGCTGTTTATTTTCAACCTGAGAAAAAAAATTTAATTATAATCACGCATAATATAATATGTATGTACTATGTATATAGGATTATAGAATTAAATAACAATTTTCTGAAATCTTACTGCATCATTTTTGTATAGGGAACAGTGATTGTGAAATTTCAAATATTATTCATGAATGAAAAATATGTATATTTTCTGTGACATGCAATCTACTACAAATAGTGTTAAAAGCAGACATTAGAATACTTAAACATTCATTTGTAATATAAAACAATTTTTGAATAATATTTCATGGTTTCCTAAATGTTTTTTGTTGATAAGTGATATTTTATTTCTAAACCATGCCTAAATAATTAGGTTATTATTTACTTGGCTATGAACTATATGATATTATACTAATAAAATATGACCTAATTTTTTTAMAATAAATATRATAAGAAAATAATCAATAGGTACCTATAAATTATAGGTATTAAATTATTATAGGCTATAATATAATTTAATACAATAAATAAATAAATATAATAATTATATACCTATTTTTGTATGCAGATTATAGAAGGTAAAATAAAAGTAAATAGGTACCTATAATACAAATAGTTAAGAGTTYATAATAAACATATCAATTTATTGTTATAATAAATTATTACAATTGAGTCATTTCAGTTTTGGGAACTTTTGATGTTGAGACTTTGCTTTTCGTTTTTTTTTTTTTAGGTTTTTAGCTTGCACTTTCAAATATTACATCTAGAAAAATCACTACCTATAATCTTTGGTTCAGAGGCAGAATTTCGATATTTTGATTGGGAGGCACATTTAAATTGTATAATTGTAATTTTAATTAATAGCTAATCGTTATAACTTTTAATTATAAATAGGTATCGATAAGACATGCACTAAAGCTGAAAGTCCTAGTTTATCAATTTCAATGCAAATAATGATTAAAATAATTAATAGTTTAAAGTATTATTCTTATTAACTGAATTTTCATTTATACTCGCAGTTTTCGTTAGAAAATTGACACGGGGAACGTGTCCCTCCTCTGAAATCACCACTGCTTTGGTTGATGTAAGTTTTACCTTTATAATTCATGGCTTCATTGTTTATAAAAATTAAAAATAGCATTTTCGATATTTATTTACAGCAATAAGACAACATTTGAGAACTTAAGTTACATTTTCAAGTTTTATGATATTTAAACTAGGTATTTATTATTTAAACTTATAAAAAATGGTATGCTTATTTTTTATGAGTTTATACAAAAAAATTGTAATGCCCATAAATAGCTTAGAATTAGTTAAAACATTTTGAAATAGCGTTATTGATTATAAAAAATGATAATTTAAGTAGGTAGCAGCTTAACGTTTCAAATTGTTTTGATTAATACATTTTGAACAACAAAAAACAAATTGTATTATTTTATGCATACCTACATTTTATAAAAATTTGAACTTCAAACGCTCAAAAACTTAAGTTGTCTTGCTATCGGTACAGGTATCTGGTAAAATATTTATATATTACTATTTCACTTAGATTTAAAGTATAATACCTATTGGCTAATGAAAATAATACTATTTATAATACATAACATGTTTAATTACTTCTAAATTGATTTTACCATGATGTGTTTTTTTTTGTTTATCACGTTTTGGGGCAGTAAAAGTGCTTCGATTTTTGACTCCAGTACCTCGTTCGATCAGAAAGTGAATCTAGTTGGTACTTTGAGGGGTCAAAAGTGAAAAATTCTAAATACTTTTCGAAATAATCGAAAAAAACAAACTAAAAATTAAGGGGAAAACGGGAAATTTTACGCACACTCATTTTTCGACAAAATCGATTTTGGTTTTTGATGTAATTTTAAAACAAATGACCATAGATACATGAAATTTTTACCGAATGTTTATATAAGTAAATTCTATCCAACATGCAATTTTCAAACAATTTCGACTTAAGTTGAACTATTCATAGGCATTTTAAATTTTCGATCATTATTAGTTTTTTTTAAATTAATATCGATAAAAATGTATTTGTTAGGCGGAAAAGCTTGAAAATTTAATACAAGGCTCCTTACAAGTTTTTCAATCTTTATCAGAAAAAAAATGTCCACCGGAAATTCAAATTAAATTTTTATTAGCATTTGAATTTCAAATATTGACAAAAATTCGTCAAAACCATGAATATTTGCAAATTATTTTGTAGTTCAAAATTTATAATATTGTTTGTACTTATATCTAGGGTTATACATTTTAACACCAAGTTTTTCATAAGTTTTGCTTCAAATGGCTATAGAGAAAATTTGAAGTGTCATTATAGGAAAAATGTTTTGAGCGTTTGAGTTTT